GGAAGTGATGTCAACTCCTCTGCTCTGTTCCGGCTCGCCATGTTATTCATAGTGGTCGTGATGTTAACTTCTCTGCTCTGGTCCGGGTTGTAATATTACGTCCGCCGAGGAAAAATTAATTTGTATGTGGTGCGTCTTCTGTATACTGTTTATTCTGTGGTAGTAGTCAAGTACATTGTGAACGAAATTGTATTAAAAAAATACAATTGTACAAAGTATGCCAACACCGTTTCCCTTGCCTTGACGTTCTCAGTAAAAAGTTACAAGCGGGGCACGATAGGGTTGTGGAACGCAACTGCAAATATTACCACACACCACAAGCCCTTTATGTGTTTACAGCATTAAAAATTGAAAACTCAAACTCACACACACATTCTCATTTTCAATCTCCAATAAGAACAATTGTGGAAAGTTCTTGTTTCTTTTCATTTTTTAGGTTGTTCCCACGAGCCCGCGGGATTCCGCGGGTGCCCAAAATATCCCACAAAGCGTTCCTCACGCTAGAAAAATGGGCAAATACGTTCCACTTTTGAATCGTAAATGTCTTCTTCTTCGTGCCCTGGCAAGAAAATTTTATGAAACACAAAAATGGAAAATGCCACTAGAGTTTCAGAAAATGTGTATAGGTTAGAGTGGTTTAAAAAAATTTTTTATGGGAATTCATAAACGCTACCTCAAATTATTGTTATTTGTTATCATATATGTAGTACTTCTATATTGCTAGTAAATTCCCAACGGGACTGAAAGTTAGCTGCTCCCCAAAGGAGCAAGTACGGAGCAGTACAAAAGCAAAGTAAAAAATAAATTTTTAAATTTCTAACATTGCTCAGAAATAAATATCATTTTGAGTAGTAACATAAAATATTTTCTTTAGAAAAAAAGTTAATTTATGTGCAAACATGTATGTATGTATGTATTTTCGTATGGATACCACATAGAAAAGAAAAAATACATGTTTATAAGTACACTTAATAAAACCATCAAATGGTTTACAAAAACGCCATTCTTTTATTAAAACCAAAATATAATATAAAAATTAAAATTTGCATGCATCGCTTTTTAAATGTTTTAGTTGAAGCGCTCACCAAGGGCTTCTTTGGGAGCAGCAAGGGAGCGCTTTTTTCTAATGACACACAATGTTAAAATACAATGAAGAATCAAATTAGGAAGGGAGCGCTTACTGCTGAATATGGAGCGCTCCAATAGAACTAATGGAGCGCTTCTGGCCCCGTTGGGTTCAAAGTACATTCCCCAACATCAGAGTGTCGATATATTCAAAAAAGAAAGAGAGATCCGATAAGAGAATGTACTCAAACTGACATTTTTACTTTTCAAAATTAAGGAGCGGTTTAACAAATTCTTATTGAAAAATAATTCACATGAAAAATTAACAAAAAATACAATATTTGTATATATATGAGAAACACTGCAGCTGCTGTGGTGGCAGAGGATAAAGGTACCAGTTACAAAAGGACTTGGCATCAGTTGGCATTTCCAGTTGGCGTCAACAAGCCCAGAACAGAAACGAATAGCGTGCTTTATTGGATCCGGTCAACTATCATATGCCACACAGCTTGTGCAGCATGTGTAAATAAGTTTTGTCTTATGGCGATTTCTTTTCTACAAAAACTGTAGCCTTTTCAATGCCATCTCCTTAGTATTTGTGCGTAGAGGGCACTGAGAAGGCAACAATTTCCAATTTTTCGGATATCGAAAAAACGAAGAGCTTCGAAAAAAGTCGACATATCGAGCCGTAACCGCGAAAAAATTAGGGTTTTTTTTCAAAACTTACTTCTTGAAGCAGAAATACTCTAGGACCTAGAGTCTAGAAGAACAAAAATCTGGCAGAGAGTAAATATTTAGAAAACGAAGTAAATTTTCGCCGAAATGCCGATTCAGAATAAGAAAATAGGCGCAAAGTTTAATGCTTCGATTCCGAAGCGCCCCGCTAATGAGAAATTGGTCATTTAATTTTCTTTTGTGGCGTATGTTTGGACTTTAGGGTGTATGTCGAGAATTTATTTGCACTTTTAGCGGTGATAGCAGTAAATAAACATCATATTCGCTGTAAAAATTTCGAGTTATGGCCCGTCCATGCGTTCTTCAAGTTGTCAAGTCAACTCCGCACAGGTGCAAAGACAGTCTAAGAGCGTTTATGCATCAAAATTTAATTTTGAACAAAATTCGTTTGAGTTAACTGCGGTTTGAAGGAAACATGAGACCGTAAAATTTTATATTTGTTTGTTTAATTCTCTGAACCGCCCCTGTTATGATATGGCACTTCATTCTATGTAGTAATTTACAAATATACACGTACACTTCTACAATCACAACAATTTTCATAGGCGTCTTTCTTTGATTTCGAATTGAAAACACATTGTGATCATATCGATGGCTGAGTGGAAGATCGACCTATCTCGGCAGCCAGTTCGAAAACGCTCTATCTCAAAAAACTTTTCAAGAACGGCATATTTCAGAACTCGTTTCAAAAACGCCCTATCTCAGCTGTCGATTCAAAAACGCCTTATATCAGCATATTTTCGATACATTTTGAAGTGAGATAGGGCGTCTTTGAACCGAATTTTGAAATAGGGTGTTTTTCAATTAAATTCTGAAGTAGGGCGTTCTTGAAAAGTTTTTTGAGATGGCAGTTAAGAGTTTCAAACAAATCCAATCATTTTTTTAAAGTTGGTCCCCATTTTGAATCCACCATTTTGAATTATGAAAATCTGACATCAGATTCGTAATCAGCAACCCCAGAAACCCACTGGAAACGTGTTTAAACCCTTGACAATGCTTAAAACGTTCAGTATCAACGTTTTAATTTTAGTACTTTTTTTTAATTTGATCGCCATACTGGGTCCGCCATTTTGAATTTAAAAAAATCGACTTCAGATTCGTAATCGGCGACCCCAAAAATTCTCGAGTGCCGGGTTTCGAACAAATCCAATCATTTTTTTAAAAAATGGACCGCCATTTTGGATCCGCCATTTTGAATTTCGAAAAACTGACTTGAGATTCCTAATTAGCAACCCCAGAAACCCCCTGGTAACAAGTTCCAACCCATGACAATGCGTAAATCGTTCAGTATCAACGTTTTAATTTTACTAGTGTCTTTTCGACAGCATATTTTCGGGAACTAGACCCATTCTAATTGTCCAAGACAGGAGTGTAATTAAGGGAAAGTTCCCCAATAATACCAGAGTAATTATATGTAAAAACCACATTTTTAGCTGCATTTTAACATGTCAAGAAAATTAAAAAATTGAGAACATCAGCGTTTTATAAAAAACCGACCAGCGCGACCTCTAAGAAAACTTTTTTTTCAAAATAAAAAAATACGTGTCTCTTTTTTATCACAAATAACAATATTCTGATGTAGCGTTTATGAATTTCCAAAAAGAGTGTTTTTATGAACCACTCTAATATAGGTATTTGCTAATTTTATTAGCCATATAAGATAAATACACATAAAATTATTGCTTTTCTCTCAGATTCTCGCAAATGAAATCTCAGCAAGTGTTGCAAATGTTTAATTCACATTTTGCGAGTTAAAAAAAGACGTCAAATGAAAAAGTAGTGAGTAAGCTAAATTGAAATTTTAATTGAATAAACTTTGTTTTCTGCACTTATCAAATCGCAAAAACAAGTGAAACAGTGAGAATGATTTTACCTTGTAATGTTTTTATCATGATTAGCGGATGAATTTAGTTCTCTGAACAGCTTTAGATCTCGACAAACAAACTCTTCCTTTTCACGGCTCGGCAAATAAAAACACTTATTCAGCTTTTGCACATTTCTGGTATATACAATATATAATACATACATAATACATATCAAACACTACAGCTACTGAAATAATACACTTTTCAGGAATGTGTGCAATATACAGGGCCGAAGAAAATAAGCACGAAAAAATCCATTTTAGGCGCTTAGATAAGCACTAAAACATTGGTAAATATGCTTGCAAATATCCCGTAGAGACGAACCATTGGGTTTAAATGTTTGTATCCAAGCAGAAATGCAATTGAAGTTACAGGTTAATAAAAACTAAATCTGTTTTTATGTTATTATTTGTAAACATTTATTTAGTTCGGCGAATAAAAAAAAGGCCAAGAAATGGTCAAGAAAAATTTATTGAGCCAAATTTTCTTAAGCAGTACGAAGTTCTTAAGAAATTTTCTACGCTTTCTGCTATGGTTTGCTAAAGTTTGTTTGTGAAGAGTACAAGACATCCTTAGACAGCAGGCTGTAGAATATCAGATGTCAAAACTCCTTGGACACTACTATTCACACACACGAAATTTTGCATAGCAATTTATTTCTTGACCATTTACTTAAACCAAAATAAACCTGATCGTTAAAATTAAGCTTGGAAACCCTGAATAAGGAAAATAAGCAATTTCATGCAAAAGCTTAAACTTTTCGGCCCTGGCAAAATATAACCTGGGAACTTTAATATTTTCTTTAAAAAATGATTTTTTCACTTCAATTAAAAACCAGTTTCTATCGTGTAAGCATTTTGGCCTTATACCATCTTTTACAACTTCGGTAAAGTTCGCTCTTACTTCGAGATCAAAAAATCGGCCTGTTTAAGTTTGACTTGAAGAATATAATTTCGAACCTCATCAATTTTGCAGAAAAAGGTTATAATTTGACCTATTGTGCCTTTGTGTGTTGACATCAAAACCCACACCACACGTTAGGGAAGAAACTCGTAAACTCGTATTTTTACGTAGATATATATTTTTCCAAGCATACGTATTTTTATGTAGATATATATTTTTCCAAGCATACGTATTTTTATGTAGATATATATTTTTTTCCAAGCAGCCAGCCCAAAATCCTTAATTGCAGCGCTGTGGTCGTTTAGTTGGTATAATTGCCATCTTTATATAAGTTTTGATGACATAAATTAAGAAATGTCTTTAAAAAAATAGTTTCTACCGTGCAAAATTATAACTTGTTGGGTAAGATTTTTTAATACTCATAATAATTACCGCTGCTACTGGAACTAAAATCTCCACAA